GACACAATAACAACAGCAACCGTTACATATAAGTAGAGAAATTCATTTAGAATATTCATAAGTGGCGCAGTTTCAAAATAGAAAGTTTTCGATCGAAGAGATGCTTCAATCAACTGAACATAAGCGGCAATGTTCATACTAATATTTGTGTATCGATTGGTATATACCATCGGGTATGGTCGTATAAACTAACAGTTCCGTTTACATAACTGTATTTGTGACTAGAACAGTGAACAGAAAATTTAAACTTGGAATAGCTTTTCAGAACGTCTGTCAAATTTAACTTTAACAATTTACGACAGGTAGGTGCTGGCACAAGAAGAATTTTGAAAGGTTCAGCTACAGAAAGGTTTCCTACGCCCATTTAAAAAAGGGTTCCACAATCGATTACGTAATTAAACTTATTCGTGTCACGTTTGAAATGTTTTTATCACGTAACTTTCCTCGATCTACGAAACTATTTTGTTGCCCAAGAAACCTTTTTTTCTCGAAGGCTTTAGATTCGTTGAAAAAGGATATTTACCTTGGCTACTATAATAGGTAAGAACCCTTAAGCAGAAAAGGTTTAGTAATGCATATTTTTTTTTAAGGAGCACCTAGATCTACTTACCACCTGTAATAGAAGACGTACGAAAGCAGCAAAGCGGAAATTCCTGCGGGAAGTAACTGATTTAGCCAAGACATGCAGATGAGAAGCGCTGTATTCCGATCAGTCGTCTACTACTAACGAAGAAGCCTCGCCAACTATCCTCTTGCTTTTCGAACGAAAATATCTTTTTCTATCTGAATATCTTTTTCCTTAGAATATGCATCACAACACTGTTAGGTAATTTTTTTCAACCAAAAACAATAAAATACAATCGAAACTTTCGTACTTTATAAGGACAAGAAACAACAACAACAACTATCCCATCGGAATCTCGGTGTCAACCATCGCTATGCAGTAGTTCATATTCATGTTCCTCTAACACAGAATGCGAATGCTTTCGATTAACATTGGATAGTAATGATGATAGTGGTCTGTGTGCTTATTCAGTACTTTCATGTTCAGCTTTAACGGTTTGTAATGAATTTACTGCATGTTCGATACCCTATACAGTATGTGTCAATAGTACCCGATGTAATCAGCCGGTTTGTTATCCGTTGGCACTGGCTAATCAACAGTTATGTCCATCAGATAATCAAAGCTTAATAACAAGTAAAACTTTATGATGTTGAACACTATAATTTGTAAATGTTTAATTTAATTTCAGTTTCAACAAGCACTTTTGTCAGCCAACCGAGTGACGGAAGTAAGTACGACTTTATCGTTTACTTCAGTCTCACCTCTTCAAAGCTAAGGAAGGGTCGAAGTCAATTTAGTTTCCTGCAGTGTCCGATTCTACAATTCTATGCGAATTCCTAGGACTGGCAGCATTCGATATGTTCAAGCATATACTGTAACTAAATTCTCTTCAGAATCTAATTGAGGGAGTTCACACTACGACGTTCAATCTACAAAACTATTTTGTTTCCCAATGAACCTTTTTTCTCTCAAAGTTTCAAATACTTCTGTAATGACCTACAATGCATAATATAACATTTGTGTCCCAATTTGGGGTAGATCAACGCTCACGCCATTTTTCTTGCAACATATGTCAATAATTGAAGACGAAAATATCGGAAACGAATGTATAACTTCACAAAATCCTATGCGTTTCCTGCCTATTTCCAACTAGGATCCTACAGGATCGTAAGTTAGGATACTACTGTCTGTTTAGTAAAATAAGTTACCTGACTAGTTTATGAATATATAACGTCTAATAAATAAAAGCGTTCGATCTCACTCGGTATACGCAGCAATCAGATCTACACTCAAATCCTTCTGTGCTTATCACTACGACACTATATAGTATCTATCGGCAAAAGATCGTTGAAATCAGAGTTGGCGATGGTCTCTCGTTAGTGTATTATTAAGTTTGGTCTCATTTTAATGAATGTTTTAGGTACAACTTCGAGTACAAGAGCCACCTCATCAAGTGTGTATACATGGTCGAGTATCAAACATATTTTCATTATTCTTTGATATCTCTTCATAGCTACAAAGCTGTCTACAACAACTACGACCACAGCAGCGAAAACAACCACACGTAATGTTATAAATAGTCTAAAGGACAATGAGTTAGTACGAAACTGCTACCATGTCAAAACTTCTTGCTTAAAAATGACATAAGTTGCAAGTTTACCAAAAATATTCTTTTACTTAGGAAGATTCCTGTATACACGTTTCAAAAGACATAGTATTCACCGTTAATGTTTAAAGCATTTACTGAACTCCATGATATACCGTACATAAAATAGAGTATTTCCTGATATTTTCAAGTACTGTGGATCGTTTGATGAAGTTACACATTTTTTAATTTATGTTGCAAATACTAAAAAAGAATAGATCATTCTATCTCGTATAAGTTTTCATCTGGTTTCTGGACTTTCTTTTAAAAACTAACACAGTTAAAAGAAGTTAACGTAAGCGATTACCTGCTATTTATTAGTAAGGCTTCCAACTTGAAAATAACGGAGATAAGTAGGCTCCAGCAGTTGAGATATTCATAAACTAGTCAGATAGCTTATTTTACTAAACAGATAGTACAGTCCTAATTTAAGATCTTACACATCCTAGTAGGAAATAGATCGATACGCTACAAGTATCTTTTATTTAATATGCGAAGTCTGTTGCGCTTTGCTGCACAAAGATCGGATAACATCCGTATCTAATATATTTTCTGGATATGGCACTCTGTTGGCATATGCCCACATCGAAATTTATCATCATTGCTACAGAAGAATTATGCTTAAGTGCACCAATAGACGGTTACAGACTAGAACCGCTGAATTATTAGGTTTTATTTAGAAAGAACAATTATAGTACAAGGAAGAATAATTACAACATAATAAGCTTTTCTTCAAACATTATATTATTTATATGTGAAATCGAAAAAATGATAACTCACAATGTACGAATTATTTGCGCCGCCTCTTTTTAGGTACAACATTTCGCACAATACTGACGAGCACACCATCAAAAAGTTTGTATATGACGGGAACTAAGAGAACATTATTGCTAGTGTCATATAATTAAGTTTGATTTCATTTTCATGAATGTTTTAGGTACAACTTCGAGTACAAGAGCCACCTCATCAAGTGTGTATACATGGTCGAGTATCGAACATATTTTCATTATTCTTTGATATCTCTTCATAGCTACAAAACTGTCTACAACAACTACGACCACAGCAGCGAAAACAACCACACGTAACGTTATAAATAGTCTAAAGGACAATGAGTTAGTACGAAACTGCTACCATGCCAAAATGTCTTCTTCAAAAATGACGCAGGCTGCAGGTTTCGACAAAAGAGTTAGATCTCGCTCGATGTATCAGCAATCAGATCTTCAAGTTTGACACAGATCATCAACCTTATTAGCATTTTGTTATTCAGTTCTGTTCAGAAACGTTTTGAGTAGTGTCGCTGTCAAATTATCTTTTTCCTTTTTTTCCTTTCAACTTGATTCAGTTAGTACAATACTACTAGTAGGATGTTTTATTTACGGTGTCGCACAGTCGATTGTGTTTCTTTTTTCAGCCTACGTCCCATACGTGGCACAATGTGCTTTATAAAATGATGCAAAAACGTTAGCGAAGTAACTTGTCGCCTGTGGTTTCAGCTTTGATGGTGTAACCCAAAAATGAATTCTAAAATGACCCAAAACTCGTATTCATTTGAAATCACTAAACTATTGGTACACCATCATGTATCTGTGCTATCAAAAAGTCGGTAGACAATCCTTCATATGATGAGACTGTCTACATTAAAAATCTGTTTGATTTTCGATAATAGAAATCAATTATCGATGATCTTTTCATTCATAAATGAAACATGGATTGTAATGTGATTTTGCTCGTAGGGAAAGTAGTGATTATTGTTGATCGTATTGATATCCTTGATCGTTTGTTCCTCTTTTATCAGCGGTACAGTTTCGGGAACACACAATGTTTGAATTGATACGTGGGTTGTTCTAGGACTTAGATAAGACAGGTATGGTTGCCGTATTTGAACAGATGATGATAGGTCTGTAGCTGATGCTTGCTTTAAATCTTCTGTTTTGCTATTTCGAAGAAATTTTCGATTATTAGCAATTGGTGGTGATAATGTTTCTTGTGGTGAATCGTGTCTGGCACTAACTACTTACGAGATGTTGTAACATCAATGTTTTATATCAGTTTTGAGTATTTATAAACTACGCTCTCATCCACAATCATGCGCCACCAACCGCAAAGTAAGTTTTAGTCACATGATTGATATATAGCCCAAAGTGTCCTCTCGAGGATGGGAAGTAAAGGAACTCTTAATTTTTCCTCGTTCAGTGTGGAATCGGATTTTCTGAGAGTCTCAGGATCAATATTTCGTTAGGTGTGGTAATTTCGAAAACGAATGGGAACAGAATTCGCTCGTTAAGAGTTCCCTTAGTTCTCATTTTGGCGAGGACGCGTGGAGTATGTACCGATGGAAAGGAACTGATAGGTTGCTGTCTCAATTTCTGGAAATCCGAACTGGTTTTCCAAAGATCCATAGAAAACCGATCTCCGAGTGTTTTCGAGGAACGTTTTTGTTTATGAAAATAGACTAAACTGGGCTCTTTCGATCGCTGTAAATTTCAAGTTTCTACCTTTAATCCTTTTTGAATTATTCAAAAAACAATCGAGAGTCTTGTATTTTACGATGGATAATCGTATTAAAGTGTTCATCCGTTCATATTTATAGTTCATTAGTGGCGAATAGATAAACATATTGACAATGACTCATCATCAAGTGACTTTGAAAACTCTGAATATGTGTATAGATGAACATATCATCACTATCATTAATCACTGAAAGATAACTAGACAATATAGAATAATACGGGATTATTATACAAAAAAAGCAAACCTTTTATTTCTTTAGAAGCAATTTTTGGATGAGATATGGGAACGTATGACTACAATTCATCGTCTTCTATCCATCCAAGTGAGTTTGAGGGTGGGAGTAGATGGGAAGGTAGTTTACAAATACCCATCATTTTTGGAATAGCGCCTAGAGGTAGACTGATAATATCGGCATAATATATTGTAAATGGTTCTTCGTGTTACCGCTTGCGTTGAATCAATTTTCCAAATTTTAACTGACATGAAATTGTTGATGAAGAATGTGTGCGTAACATACTCTCAGATGTTTTTCATTACGTAAATGTTTAGTCATATTAGTTTTCTCTTCCGAGATTACTATATTTTAGTTTTCTTTTGATCTTTTGTGAGATATTGTAAAATTCATTCTAGTCAACACGAAAGGTTTCTATCATTTTTTAAGCTGTTTTGTGTATTTTTTCTCAGAGCCAGGAATAACATCAACAACAACTACGAGGACAAGTACGGGTAATTACAACATAATAAGCTTTTCTTCAAACATTATGTTACTTATATGTGAAATCGAAAAAATGATTACGCGCAATGTACGAATTATTTTCGACGCCTCTTTTTAGGTACAACATTTCGCACGATACTGACGAACACACCATCAAAAAGTTTGTATTTGAAGCGGACCGAGAGAACGGTGTTCTTGCGAGGGAACCATCGCCAACTGCCCAGCTTTGATTTCAACGATCTTTTGCCGATAGATACTGTACAGTGTCCTAGACCCCTAAAACGATTTAGGTGTATGTCTCTTCTTTCAAACGTTAAAAACTTTTCTATTCTCTCGGACCAGGGCCTTTCTCTTATATTAAAAAATGTATAACCCCGTCAAAAAGCATAGTAAAGAGCTGAAATTTTCCCTGTTGCACAGTTAGATGTATTCTATCAGCACAAAAAATTACAGCCCTCTAGCTCTTTCCATTCCTGAGCTGTAAGATTTTTCAAAAATGTTAAAGAAGTGTGTTTCACATGGACAGATAATTCATGTAGTGTGGACCAGTACAGTAAAATAACATTCATTAGTTGTAGCTGGTGTGGAAAACAACCTTGTTTTAACTATTTCTTCACCAAATACCACCTTCATTAATGTTTTAGTCAACTTCTTCCGTCTCTATTTATGGTACTCTCCCGTTCCCGTTTTAGTTGCCGCGTATCTCACTTTGAGATCAGTTTTATTATTTTATTTCAGGCTTTTAAGTTTCACAAAATAATTTTCTGTACTAATAGAAGACTTCTAGCTCAGCGAAAGGAAACGTTTCAGTTCTTTACTACGCTTTTTGATGGAGTTATGAATTTTTCAATATATAAGCAAGGTTCTAGATCGGGGAAAGAGAAAAACTTCTAACTTTTGAAAGAAGAGCCATACACCAAAATCCTTTTAGGGTTCTCACGAGGGTTCTCACTGCGACACTGTATAGTATCTACCGACAAAAGATCGTTGAAATTAGAGTTGGGGAGTTGGAGATGGTCCGTCGTTAGTGTATTATTAAGTTTGGCCTCATTTCAATGAATGTTTTAGATACAACAACATTTCGCATTACACCAACGAACACACCATCAAAAAGTTTGTATATGAAGGGAACTGAGAGAACATTATTCTTAGTATCATATAATTAAGTTTGATTTCATTTTCATGAATGTTTTAGGTACAACTTCGAGTACAAGAGCCACCTCATCAAGTGTGTATACATGGTCGAGTATCGAACATATTTTCATTATTCTTTGATATCTCTTCATAGCTACAAAACTGTCTACAACAACTACGACCACAGCAGCGAAAACAACCACACGTAACGTTATAAATAGTCTAAAGGACAATGAGTTAGTACGAAACTGCTACCATGCCAAAATGTCTTCTTCAAAAATGACGCAGGCTGCAGGTTTCGACAAAAGAGTTAGATCTCGCTCGATGTATCAGCAATCAGATCTTCAAGTTTGACACAGATCATCAACCTTATTAGCATTTTGTTATTCAGTTCTGTTCAGAAACGCTTTGGGTAGTGTCGCTGTCAAATTATCTTTTTCCTTTTTTTCCTTTCAACTTGATTCAGTTAGTACAATACTACTAGTAGGTGTTTTATTTACGGTATCGCACAGTCGATTGTGTTTCTTTTTTCAGCCTACGTCCCATACGTGGCACAATGTAATGCAGCACACTGTAGTACTTATGTCGCATGTTCATCGAATTCAAATTGTGCTTGTTTCGCTATTGCAACGGGTGGTGGAATTTGTGCTGATGGTTCAATATCATGTGCAGCATTTACTGCATGTGACGGTAATCAAACCTGTTCGAATTCGAGTACCGTTTGTGTGGTAAATAGTTGTTGTACCATACCGATTTCTTATCCATTGCTATATGCGAGTGAACAAATATGTCCAAGTGGAAATCCAACAGGTACTTTTCTTCTATCACTTTCAGGTTGTAGACAATAATACTGGGTAGTTGTTCATTTTGTGCGGCTGTTTAATTCACAGCTTTATAAAATGATGCAAAAACGTTAGCGAAGTAACTTGTCGCCTGTGGTTTCAGCTTTGATGGTGTAACCCAAAAATGAATTCTAAAATGACCCAAAACTCGTATTCATTTGAAATCACTAAACTATTGGTACACCATCATGTATCTGTGCTATCAAAAAGTCGGTAGACAATCCTTCATATGATGAGACTGTCTACATTAAAAATCTGTTTGATTTTCGATAATAGAAATCAATTATCGATGATCTTTTCATTCACACGATGATATATTTATGTAATAAAACGATGTAATTTTTCTGCATTGCTTCATTATCGATGTAGAAAGTGAAGAAAGAAGGAGAAACATCCTGTGAAGTCGTTTTAGCCGCCTATTTATGCCATAGGAGATGTACTTGTATCACTTATTATCTGGTGAAGTACGGTATCATTGACGAACGAAGCAGCTCATAATACTGAAATTCTTTTCTAATTTTTTTCTCCGCTTTTTCTTTTATAGCAACAACAACATCAGTAGCAGCATCAAGCCGAATCACCACAGCTCTAGAAAGTATGTAATCCCAAAAAAGGTATTTTTAATAGTTTTAAGGATAATTCAGCTAGTTTTCTGGTATAAAAATTAAATAACTGGTTGTTTTTCGAAACATAGAAATTGTTGTTCGTTTTCAGCATAAGGCCTCCCTCTCAGAAACTATCTCCGACACTGTACATCCGAATTTAATCCAATTTTCCATAAATATCAGGCGTAGTGGTTATACTAATGATTTTTTTGTCCCCAAGTCTTACCGTACAGGAGTTTTCCGGATACCAAGATCCAAAAAGGATTTTGCGATTCGGATTTATTTTACTTCAAGATAAACACGCAGCCACATGCATAGCATGGCACGTTCCTATTCCGTGGAAAAATGTTTCTTCTTTCTATTATGGACTGCGTTTTTCATTCTTTATATCAGAGCAACGCTTTCTAACTTTCCCTATCAAACAGAATTTTCATTTTCTTAAGCAAAATAAATCGGTTGTAAAAGTAGAAAAACCTTGAGAAAGTTGAGATATAAAAGTTCTTGGTGATGCTCTTAAAAAAAATCCTGACTATACTGCTTGACGAGGGTTATCCTTAAAAAGAGTACTAAAGCTGAAGTTTTGGTCAAATTAATTTGATCGAATTGAACACCAAGCAATAAACAACTTTTGGACTAAAAAATCAATTATGAATAAAAGAAAGAAGAATTAGGACTAGAAGAATGTTTTTGTCTGGTCCCTCTCATTCTAATCGTCTTTTTAACACATTTCTCTGGTTGTATTTAAAAGTATTACACTGCACTCTGTAGAAAATTGTTTGTTCTATGAAAAGTAATAATTTAAATTTTTGACAAATTTAATATTAGTGGGGAATCGAGTTTACTTTTCTAAAAATGAACAGAAATTTTTTCTATTGATGGTTGATTTTCAAGATCTGACAACTATGAAGGTTTGTTTTGCTGGATGTTTTTTTGTTGATTCGCCTAATATTTCGAGTTCAATATCCAATTCTAGTAATACTCGAAGAAAAAAACTGTACACATTTTACTTACAGAAAACTGTAAATTTTACTTCACATTTTTTGTTATCTTAGAAAGGATTGTGTTTTTTTGTAGCTTAAAGAGTTTGAGAAGTCAGGACCAGTTTTACTTCTCGAAGTAGACAGAAATCGTTGTGTTTGATCACGAGCGAAAAAAATGCCGGATGTGAGAAATGCTGCTAATTAATGAAATGCAGTGAAAACTACATCTTTTAATACTAGTTCAGTTGTTTTTAATTCAGCACCTAGTGATTCTAGCATTTCTAGTATATTCCTCTTATCGATGCTAGGTACCAGAGTTCTTCTAGATACTCCGACATTTCCACGACGACAGATCCTCCACGACTCTTTCACAAATTTTTGAAAATAGATTTTAAAGAAACTAAACTTTAGAAACTAACAAAACGACTGGTATTACTCGTTAATCTGGTTGTTATTACACATTAAAATGGCTTCATTTCGAACCAGTTTCATATCAGATAGGCGCCTTAAAAGCTCAAGCAAATTCATATGACATCATGAAAATATGTATTGTGCAAATCTACTTTTCGAACTCACTCTTACACCGCCATTTCTCATCACACACTGCCAAAAATACCCAAATGTGCACTATGAAAAATTCGCGGAAGAGTCCGGATCCTATTTGTGGAGTCGTATAATGGCTCTTCTCTGATAGTATTTTTCTACCTAAGAAGTGTTATTTCTCTAGGAAAATCAACAACTCCTACAAAAAATAGTTTACCTGCACAATGTTTCAATTACACTACAATCCGTGATACGACCCGCAGCGTCAACTATACAGGAACAGCTGTATGTGATATCGAAGTATTTAATAGTACACCAATATGGGTTCGATTTCTTGGTAATGGTGGAACAAAAATTCCTACATCCGCCCCTAATATTACTCACTGCGGAACGGATGCACCTGGATGGTTAAATGGTGTCTATCCATCAATAAATGGTTCAACATATTCAGCTCAAGTCTGTTATTATTACTCGACTAATACATGTTTTTGGTCAAACTTAGTGCAAATAACAAATTGTTATTCATTTTTTGTATTTCAATTAATTGCACCACCACAATGTAATTTACGTTATTGTACAATCACTTGATACGAATACAAAATATTTTTGATTTTTCAAGAAAGACTTAGATATCATTTATGTTTAATGCAAATTTTAAAATGTATTTAACCATGGCACAATCGCTTACTACACGTATAAAAGCTTTTAACGAATTTTCCTGTTGTGTGTCTAATATAGATTTTAATAAGAATTTTACATACACTGTTGAAAAAACTATCCTCGGATATCTGACTACGTTCAAAATGCAAAATGTATCTCCTGAACGAACAAAATAAAAAATTTGTAGTGCAAAAAATATACTGCTTTTACTGTATCAAATGCTCATATCGTCTACATTGTATTTGCGAAGAGGTTAAAGAATCGACTAGGTTCAGTATTGCTTTATGCACTGCGCCCATGATGATGTACCTCGCTAAATTGGATGTTATAGCCTCTTTGTATACTTTAAACCTAAACATTACAATTCTTGGTCAGTTCTACTCATATCCGATTTTGATAAGAGCACTCTCTAAAGAAGGTTTGATCAAAGTATATAATTCTGTTCTACACTTTATTGTTAAAACTGAACGATATGATCAGTCCTGATGCTCCATTTTGTATATGTGTAAACACATTGTTACATCATGGTAATTTAAACTCGCCTCTTATCTCCCTTGCTTGATAACCATTTACATACTCCTTTTCATTACGACTGTCATGCATTTCTTGATACATCATCCTTTTCATTTTTCTATTTCTTGTTATGTAAGAATCTGACATGCAATACCGCTATTGGGAACGAAGCGAACTCTTAATTTTTCCTGGTTCAGGTGTGGCATCGAAGTTCCTGAGGGTAGTAGGATAAATATTTCTTTAGGTGTGGTAATTCCGAAAACGAATGGAAACATAGGTAATCGACCACGTTCGATCTCTCTTCACCATATTTATTTTTCAAAACAGTTTCAAAAACCTAGTGAACATCTATACTAGATGAAATAACCCATTTTTGCCTATTTTTGAGTAAAATTAAAAAATTCATAGCTCGGTAACAAACCATCCAACTCATGTGTTTTTGTAAAATACATTGTGACACCATGACAATTTAAATCTCTCTTTCCTCTTATCTCCCTTACTTGATAAGCATTTATATACTCCTTTTCATTACCACTGTCATGTTACTTCTCGATACATCATCCTTTTCATTTTTCTATTTCTTGTTATGCAAGAATCTGGTATGTAATGGCATTAGCCCTTAGCAATAAACAGTACGAGAAGTATATTAATAGAGGAGCAGTATATAATTTTCGTTTTCGGAGTCATTTGAAAACGCAATTCGGATGACTAATCCTGAAAAGCTTTACCAGAGCCCACCTTAGCCGTCAAAAACGTTTCCATTCGGCACTACGAAGAAGTGAAGGGTTGGATTTTACCGAACGAATTGTCGCCTGCAAACCCAGATTGTTCGCAGCCGAATGATGATAATATAATTTTCAGAAATAAAAGATGTCTAAAATTGACTGTTACACATTTTTCTTACTGTGTCTGTTTAACATGATGAAAGAGGCCTCACCTTTGTTCGTTTTTATACAAAAATAGTTAGACATTTTGGAAGACATCCATAATTCGTTAGCTTTACGAGTTGTGCTCTAGGTCCAGTCTTCTTTTAATAAAAGGTACCGTTCGATTTTCGAGTTATACGACTGCCAATATCGCTGCTCAACATACGAAAACTTTAGTTTCGATGAAAATTTCAGAAAATTCAACAAGTTACAAGTTTATTGATACTTTTGTAAATTCATCTGAGATATATTATTTTTCCGTTACCTGTCGCCAGCTGTTTTGGTTCCCGATACAGTACAGAAACATCCCGTTTATTTTATTTTAGCACCGATATTAGTAAAGACGAATCAACATAGATTTTAGCCCATTTTTCCTTAAGGCTGCCCACTGTGTGGTGGAGTAGTACATGAAAGTTCTTGATGAAAATTAAAAAAAGGCATTGATCTTGTGATGCGGAATAAGGTCGAAGGCTTCAAGTTAAACTGAGCAAAAACAGTATTAATTCCTTCATCAAAATTTGTATAGATTGTGCATAATATACAAAAGAGTGACTACTGTGGACGATTGAGAAGGAAAAAGTTATGTTTACTTAAAGTAATGTCTCATCAAAAGAATCTAAACAATAAATTGTTAAATTCACTGAAAAGCTTTTTGGTATACACACAAAAGTTTTTCCAACAATAGTAGCGTACATCACTAATATTGTTGTATTACGTTATTTGAGTGATTTGCGCTGCCATTGTAGCGTTGAAGCAAACAAATAAAGTTTCATTTCAAACCCGTTTAACTTATTTGTCAGATAGTCCTATGTTAGAAGTGGCCAAAAAATACTTTTCTGCACTGTTCGGCCATGTCTACCCTAAAGACGTGATTCAGCGATAAAATCGCATACAAAACGAAATTGATCTTAGTCGGTCCTTTTCTCAATATAAAATAAAGAATAGAATGACTGATTCATTGCATTATAAATATTGAATAAAAGCAGAACGAAAAAAAAGTAATATTATATATTGGTGATGTGATCCAACATCAATAAACAGTACGAAAAGTATATTAACAGTGGAGCAGTACATAAGTTTCAGAAATAAAAAATGTCTAAAATTGACTATTGCACATTTTTCTTACTGTGTCTATTTACCCAGTCTGCAGCAGCACAATCAGGGGGATATACGTATGATTCAACATGTAAGTGCGATTCATATTCAGCGTCATATAATGCTTGCGCAACATGGTCATGTGTCTATACACCAAGAACTATCGCCTGTTTCCCTGGTGATAGTTGGCTCATGACTCGAGATGGTGGCGTTACACAATTATCAAATGTAAAAGTTGGAGATCAAGTGCTATCAGTGGATAATGAACAAAATTTAAATTTTGAACCAATTTTGGACTTTATTCATGCTGAACCAAATGGTTTATACGATTTTCTGAGCATTTCGATTACTTCACCATTCAATGATACAATTGTTCTACGTGTCACAGCTAATCATTTGATTTTTCTGCACAAGAATGCCTATCCAATATTTGCTGGGAGAGTAAAAGTTGGTGATGATTTACAAATTGTTGTCGATGCGAAGTTGTCACATGGTAAAGTTGTCGATATCAAATTGAGAAAAAGCGAAGGTTTTTATGCACCATTGACATCAAGTGGAAAAGTTGTTATTGATAATGTGGTGGCATCGAATTATGCAGACATTAATAATCACTATCTGGCACATGTTGCTATGAAACCATACAAGTGGTGGCTTCAAATATTCGGCTCAAGATCAACCACGATGAACTGTTATATACAAAGTTTGCGATTATTTGCAGAAAAATGGATTAGCACTATTATGTACGATGGAACATTTGAAATAAGTGGATTTATGTGAACACACTAAGCCAATAAGAGTCCTAAATTAGTTAACATTATCATTTTCATTTACATTTTGGATTTTCTGTTAGTCTGACAAAAAGAATTCTCGAACTAAAGCTCAAACAAAGTATAATGCGGATCAATATTCCAATCTGCGAAAAGGACCTCCTCGACAGTTCCTTGCGACGGGTACCTCATGTAGTTATTTTAAAATAAGTAACATTTATGGGTAATTCGCTCGACTCTTGACTGGTAGCGAACGTCTTTAGTTTCTGATCAACAGTGTTTAAACGAACAGTCAGTAGAATAATAAGACAATACTAAAGGTGTCCCGAACTCTGAAACTGCTAGTTTTGACCTTTCACGAGCAGAGCTGTCTGATCTTGGCAGGCGCTTTTCTGTCTTTCCTTCTAATTTTATTAGAATGTAAATCTTACTGCACATATATCTGACATAATAAATGAAAGCACTTGTCACCAGTTGTTTATTTAAAGATATGTACTGTCATTATTCAACTATTTTGCTTTTCTTCACCGTACATATCCAAATCATATTAATCATTGATATTCGGAATCAGGATGATCGATGTCCTATAATCCACTAGATTTCGATCAAAAAGTGATTTACCACCTGGAAATCTCCCCTCGTAAAATAATTTTAAGTAGAGTCTAGATTTTGATGAGGGATGCAGAAAAGACATGAACAAGACATGATACAGCCATAATTATAACGAACATTGCTGATCTCCAGTGAATGTACTTGATCCGAGTACATGTCCGCATAACCAGTATTTAAATAGTGCATTCAGGAACGATGCGCAGGAACAATGTTGCTCATGGATTCATGCGCACGTGGAATCATACGTACGGGTATCTTACGCACGAGGAATGTTCCGCACCGGAATTTTGCCCACCAGGTTGCTACGCACGGACGCTTGCGCACGCGTCATACAATCGGACAAAAAGATCAAACTGCTGATGTTCTGTAATCACAGCGGCTTACAAAGTGTTTAAGGAACATAATTAACTATTGTGAATAAATTAACTAAACAATGATGTTTTGTAAACACTACAGTACTATAAAATACTTTATTTCCAATTCACTTTTGGAACGTTCATGATAGAAGAAAAGATTTATTAATGAGCCTGGAATCGACGTGTTGAGGAGTAACAGTTTATTATTATGGAAACTATGGAAATCCTTAATCTTTTCCAGTTCAGGCGTGACATCAGATTTCCTCAGAGTCCCAGAATCAATATTTCTTTAGGCGTGGTAATTCCGAACTTAAAGGGAAACATAGGTAATCGACCACTCTGAATCTCGTGACAATATTCGTTTTTCAAAACACTTGCAAAAACTTATATTAGGCGAAATAATCCATTTTTGCTTATATTTGAGCAAAATCGAAAAATTCGTAGCCCAGCCAAGATTCATCCAAATTACGTCAGAATATCAAGCTGTACTCTATTTTACCTGCTCTATATGATGCAGCTCACCAAAAGCTATAAAAGCCAACAGAAAATACTTTGATTTTCAAAGGGTTTTCTAGAAATCTTCCGAAGTACAGCAATGATTTTTACTATTCTCAAGTAGAAAAACGTATAGAGCAGGTAAAATAGAGTACAGCTTGATATTCTGACGTAATTTGGATGGATCTTGGCTGGATTATGAATTTTTTAATTTTACTCAAATATAGGCAAAAATGGGTTATTCACCTAATAATCGAAATAGAAATCTGATGCCGCGCCTGAACCGGAAAAAATTAAGGATTTCTTTAGTTCTCATTTTGCAGAGGACACTTTGGACTATCTATCTTTGAAGAAAGATGGACCTATTTCTATGTCAGTTCTCAGAGATCCAAACTGATTTTCCAAAGATCTGCACAAAATCCGGTCTTTGAATCTTTTTCAAAAATCATTTTTGCATATGAAAAGATGCGTACAGGTCTTGGTTATCGAATGGTGAAAACTGTAGGTCGGTACGTCTTTTTCTTAGAAGGTTATAAGCAAAACATTTAGGATACAATTATTTGCAAATGTTTAAGAAAACTAGTGATTGGATATTAGCACGGATGCGGATGCAGACCGCGAAGATAAAAATTACAAACAGTTGATAAATTAATTTCTTTTTGAAAAATAAACTTTTTTTAAATATAAGTACGAATTATTATTATTAATTTTCTTAGTCTCATCAAGCTCTACAGCTGTTGAATAAGTAATTCATGTGAAGATTTTGTCTAAATGTTAGGATTTTCTTATTCTGTCTTGTAAAAAAAAGCTTTAAAAAAACTCTGCTTCGTATCATGCCACCTGTATGCGGTAAAGTAGATCAGTACCAACTAAAAAGAAATTTTAATTAAGATGTAAATAATTTGATTTGCTTTAGGGAAGCCGTCAAAATTCGCATCGGTGAATTTATTAACAGGTGAATACATTTGGTAACTGGATTGGAAGAAAATTGAGAATGGTATTATTCAATCTGCCTCAAAAAAAAGAATATGGAACTATCGGATAACAGAGAGTACATGCATGTATTTATTCTTTTCTGTACAATAATTGAGTTAACTCATTTGTGTATTTAACTGGTATTATTTAATGTTACGAAATTGTTTTGTCCGCATCTATTGTTAAACGAATAATACAGAAGAAAATGACATTAAGTATAAATATTTTATTTCTGACAAGAAAATATGAGATTTCAGAAAAGGGCTTAAGTACAAAATCAGATTGAGGGGCTCAGAAGAGTATGGCTAGATACCTATATATACATGTGTTTCAGATTTAAAATCGTATGGGTAGGTAGATTCTCGTACAACGCCTGTGCATCTAAACCACGGCAGATAGAGATCCGGGACTTGTGACGGTTTGTAGAACAGATGTCACTCTAAACCCAAGGTATTTTCGAAAGTATTTCTCTATGTCCATTTTTGAAATGACAAGCTCAGGTATTTTCCTTAGAAAATAACACCATGGTAAACCTTTCATCTGAACGTTATTTCTGTTGTTTGCCGTGTGAAAGAAAAGAAATACTAGTGATTTACACTACACAAATATTTTAGTGTTTACACGTGCTGTTTGTATGGTGATTATTCTAGTAATGTTAAGGGCAAAGCGTGATACGTTGTTTTGATGTTTAGAATAACCCGTTTGAGCTGGCAGCACATATCTTTCGGAGTGCGCTGATCACGAACAAAACACTATTGGGTTGTTCGTTTCCTACTTTAAATCATTCACACGCCTAGTAAAAGTGATTTTCTATAATATGCTAATGTTGATTCTTCGTTCGTAATAAAATGAATGTATTATCGAGTATATTTGTCCACCAACATTCAATAATACAACAGATACATTACTGATTATAGGGGATGTATAATGTTTCGCGTAAAATGTTGTTAGAAGGCGGTAAAATAAGTTGGGACAAGTCGTGATAGTAAACCATAAAACATATACTACAAGTTGAATCAACAGCTTCTTGACTGGTTTACCTTGAGGTTTTGAACTGATCGAATGATGGTACTGCTTTTGTTTCAGAATTAGACGATAGATGAAAGCAACTGTAGATAGAATCATCACGGATAACGGCACTAGTACTGAATAGACGTTCCAAAGCACTGCCAATGTAGTATCAAGTGTCGCACAAGCAACACATGGTAGATACGTACATTTCGGAAGCAAGATAAATGCACATATTATCAATACGAAGCAGAAATGAACTTCGGACAACAAATCAGCTCGCAGTTTTTAAATATGATTTGAACTTCCATTGGTGATATTATTCAAAAAAAGGAAGAAGTGTTATTCTCTGCCTTTTTCCTTCAATCGATAGACTATTATATAAAATAGAAGGTATAGCTCTTTATTCGTTTGTTGCAAATTAAGTCATCAATCTGACATATGTTTCTCTTACTCATCTTCTAACTCTGTGATAGAAAGTCGGTTTTCTAAAAATGATCTCCCTGTCTGTTACTTAATCCTTTTCACATGCATTAAATTTCTCAAATATTATTATTCAAATAGAAACGCGCGACTGATTCATTAATTTTCATGCTTTCTATCTCCGACAAGTTTATGGTTGTTGGGATCGACATTGTAGCTTACCTTTTTGATAATATTTTCAAATGTTATTCCATATTTTATAAATAAAGAAATATATTAATAGAACGATCGAAATCATTCCGGGGAATTTGAGAGCATCCATGCATTTATTCGAAGTCTCAACACGACAAGAATGCACTTGGGTTTACGAAAAAGATTCTTTTCTATATTTCAACACTTGTTTGTAGGTTATTTTTGCTTGATACATTTTCTATATTATTTTTATACACAGAATTTCTGTTTACAAATTGATTTAATAAGTTAGCTGATATATACATATATATATACGTGTGTATAAGTTCAACATATATGTATTATGCGATACAATTACTTACAAGACATGATTCTCATTATTACTGTTACTACAATTGGGTTATGTATGTAATTCAATATAAAAAAAGAAAAACTATTTGTTTAGTGTGTTAGCAGTATGATACCTACTACTTGTTCGAGGGATATTTCGAGTGCTCGGATATATGCTTTCTATTTTCGAGTACTCGACGCACCTCTCGAACGACTTTTTTCGCATGCACGGGAGTGATGATCGATGTATCTACAGATCTAATCTGTTTACGATCGTTTTTGGAAAAAATAGCTCAAGATAATGTGTAAGCTGTGTACTTGAAGTCAGGGTAAGAAAGACAAGGAAGTACTTTTGAATTAATCTTACATTAAGTGGTCAAGTTGACGGATTATGAATTAAATTTACGGTGAGGGAGAAAAAGATAGAAAGAGATTGTTTTCGTGACAACTTGCAATTCAGAAAGTAGTGTGAGGTCTTAACCTGAAGAATTAAGTCCGTTCTATAAGATTATCGTTCAAAAACACCAGTGTCCATTTTTCTCCCAATGCATAAAAAGAAAAAAAGACAATCTCGAGTCCAGCGGATTGTCTCATGTTAGCTTCATGAGTTTAAACGATAATGAGCTCAAAATCATATGGTAGAAAGAGAAAGATCTGAGCTACAAATAGAGTATTTGTACCCGTGCAGACTAGTGAATTTTCTCCTTTTCTCCAGAGCTGGGAAAAAAGAAGCACTTTCATGAGGCTCTTCGCATTTTGAATGTGCTTGAAAATCGATCAGAGATTTTTCGAAGATTTTTATATAAGAGTGTAGACAAATATTTGCTCTGCCACCATGTTCAACAGCAAGTTTTTCCGACCAAAAATGACTGGAAACTAATACAAGTACGACAAAAAATTGAAAAGTGTCTCTTTTTCCCCAATACTATTCTATGTGTGCTTTCTGTTTATAGAGAAGTGTAAACAGAAAGAAAATAGTCAGCTTTAAATTGTGTTAGATTGTGTAACTGATAATAAAAAATCAGCATTTATTCTATTTTGTTCATAGACCTTTATCCGATATCTTTCATTCAGCAAAACCAGAGAAACAAAATAGAACGAGAACGCTATTCATGTATATCGACGCGCAGACTTATTTTAACGGTTTCTCTAAGTAGTCAAAATAGTTTCGTAATGGGATCAGGGATCCCAGATCTTCTGATTTTGGCAGAAAAATTCTGATTTTTGGAACTTTTTCTGCCTCGCTTCTGCTCTTTTTTGCTCTAAGGTCATTGATTTTTCTGATTTTCTACTTCTTTTTCGCAGGGTTTTTTGATTTTAAACTCTTATTTTCTTACTTTCGTGTTTTGCATCTGGGATCTCTGAACAGGGTTAAACTTTGTTTAGATGCAATAGATAGTTTTATTTTTGTCATTCTCTTACTTTGAATAGATTGTATAATGCGTTCGTCGTATCCGCATTCGACATTCTCGAAAGATTACATATGCTTTAAATCTTTTTTTCTTTGATCATTTAGAAATGTTTAAAATGCTGATAAACTTTAGAGGAAAAGAAGCAGTATATATGAATACAGCGAGAGGAGAAAATCAAAACTTTCAAAATACATTGCGTCTACTAAACTATAGTTTGGCATTTGGAGATATAGCATGAATAATCAGTTTTTCACGTTCAGGCGTATTGACGTAAAAGAAAGCTTTATTTTTGGAAGTTAGACGTGCGATATTGTTGACTTTGACCCAATCAGTTCGATAAGCTGTTTGAGGAAGATCAACGAGTCGAAGATTCTTAAAACCTGATTTTCGGTTCTTATCCCAACGTTTATAAGCCTAAAATCAACGAAAGACTTTGTAAAATTCAGCAGTGAATAGTATGTACGAAAAGACCTACAACGCAAAATGTTGGATGATCAATATCAACTTTCCAAGTGACTAATATGTGAATATTGTATTTGACTAGTTTCTGTTCAAATTCCTGTAAGTAAAAATGTAGACATTTGATATATATGATGTGTCCTCGTGTCAACAAACCCCTGGATATGAATCTCCAAAGTCTCCAGTGACAGAATTATTGAATAAATGATGTCGATCCTGGAACCATCTGGGATACCGATTTATTGCACGAATAGATGTAGCCGCCCCACCTAAGCAAAACATTACACTGATGATTAGTAGAAAGAAGGCTTCTACTTTCTTTTTATTACATACCACATTCTGCCAGTACGCTAATAGGTTTATTAATACCAAAGCTTGATAGAATGGCTACATAGATTTCAGGTCCATTTTGTTTCCAACTCGACTGAATTGTATCCCGTCCACTTGACCGACCGAAGCCAGGTAAATCAAGTACGATCAGAGAGCATCCGACTTTGTATAATGGCTCAACGACTTTTATCCAACTTGTTCAAAACAGAAAGTCACATTGTTCATATTGCTAAAATCTAAATATTCTTGCTATCGTTTCTACACTGTAAAAAACTGTACCCTTGTAGATGATACATTTTTCGTGATGAATTGGGAATTTCGGATACACTGCATGACATTTTGCGATAATCAGCGTAGCATATATCTAGTTGATTTTAGCATATTTTTAAGGAAATATTAGGAAGAAAACATGTATTATTAAGTTTTTCTTTCGCATAAGATGGGGTGACTTTCATTAAAAAGTTTTTAGCAGGAGTTCATTAAAATGATTTGGATGGCACAAGAATTTTATCTAATATATATATATATATATATATATCACTTAGCAAAAGATACCTGTTTGATTTCGTACTTCAAAATATGTATGTATCACTAAGCGATACATATATTTTGTTTCCGCTTGTATACATCTATTTTTAGGGCTTTAACTTATATTCTGTTTATTAAATTCTCATTAAAGTATCTCCTGCAAAGTGACTATAACCTGAAGTTTTACAGAAAACTTTCGATGAAAATCCGAAGTTACCCAATAAATCGGAAGTCATATTGAAAGTTTTAATGAACTTCCTCCTTTAATGAAAAATGTGTTAATGAAACTCCAAGATCCCTAATAAAATAACAGTTCAAGCGGCTTGTAGTCGGGCCAAGATATTGCTTTTGCTAGGGATTGAATTATCAAGGTTCCATTATCAGTGAATGATATCAAAATACTATTCGATCTTCTAAGTTGAATTTACCGTAAATACATGCCGTGTTGTTACAAAACAAAGAGGAGAATAAAAAGAGCCCAAAGCACGTTTAATGCGACAGGGCATCTTCCATTGAAGACACATTGCAGAGCACAATAAATGTGTCTTTGTCAGAGGCGTTATTGGATGGCCCCTGCTATAAGACACGTATGGGTATGACACCATCCCATGTGCGGATATGCATGATATATACAGAAGTGTTCATATTCCAGCATTTTAACTATGTCTTTTGACAAAGCACGATTTTAGCTTCGCACATCACAGGGCGCATGTTTGTAAAGTGTGGAGAAGATTTCAGAAACACATACTCACTTTGACCAAGTACACTCGTCACCAAAACCATGTAATACGATCACCACATGAGAACATTGAGCCATCGTATCTACAGTGAACAATTGAGTACACAAGTGACTTAATCAGGTTATAAAAAGACTCAACCCACTCGTATTGTGATCTCCTTCGTTGACAATATAATTGGCGTTTATTTCATATTTTGTTTGCTCAACAATGATATAAATACGAGTACTTTTCATTTTCGAGAAGAACAAACTACGTTCGGTATCGGTGAATATCGGATAAAAAAATAATTCAGTAGCTGTTGATGAGAGTGTCTCATTGTCTATTCTCTCATATTGAACATTGAACACTAAAACTCAGGTACAAAGGAAGTTCAATCAACACAGTGTGCAAATACTTACATTTCGCTAAAGGATTCTGGCCTGGTTCGCTGTAAGCACAGCTGAAAGATTTCGCATTACTGTTTTCAACAACATGTTGATCCAACATTTTAATAGTTGTTATCGAAGCGCTATGTTCTTGTCGGATAGAAAATTTCTTTAGATTTGAAGATCTAACTTGAGTTGTTGAATGTACATTGTTTGAGGTGGACGGTCCTGTAGCATTTGTCACATTTCTTGCAAAGGTGCTGGATTTCAACAGTCCATTGTTCTTCTTAACATCATCTCTCTTGATAACAGAAATCTGTTTCGCTTCCAATGCAGGAAGTTGACTCACTATAATTTAAAATCAAAAATTTTTATCTTTGTCGAAATATGAAGTTTAACCACTTTGGAGTTTTCGTACAAGATGTTATTACTTAGAGCAAAAAATGCCAAATGTCCTCTATAATTAGAGCCTCACATTTCGAGATTTGTTCCTATAAAAATCTGTCCCATCGGGTGTCCCTCTTTTCAGGGACGTTATCTGACTGTCTCTAATAGACGTTTCACTTTTTTTAATTACGTTTTCATTTCAATTAACTCAAAAGACATTATGCGATAAATAAAATGTTTCGTCTTATCTCCCAACAGGAAAAACGCCCGCCTAACGACCCTCTGTGTTTTGTTAGCTGGCATCTTATATTAGAGTGATGTTTATGTCCGTTCATCGTTAAAAGACGAAGTTTGCACACAAAGTCTATCCAATACTAACTTTTTTATGTGTTTCGATCGTTAAGCAGTTTTGTTGTTGATAATGACGCTAAAATATATTTGCTAACACATAAAATTTTTTCTCTTTCTTCTGTTTCTTTTTATCTTATATTGCGTCAGTGTTATACATGATTCAACGATGATTCAGCAGAAAAATAGTCATGGATATTCCGTTTTGAGTAATCATAAACCGTGCAATACAGATCAGTTATCTAAACCTTAGTCATTTTGAAGTGCTTCCAGCTGACGTGGCTTTTGACCGAATCGGATCGAAGTGGTACTGTAGTCAAAACGAGTTTTGTTTTTTGATGGTGACGGTTGAATATATAGATCAGACGATTTTAACCAGTGTTTCATGACCCTTTAAATAATAGCATTTTTTTTGCGATTAACGAATATGCACATGCGATCATGTATCCATTATCAAAACCAAATATTATATATAACTGTTGAAACAATAATGGGCGAACTTTAAACATACCGCCAGATGGCTACAATGAACAAAAGGCTAAAAAGCAGATACCCCATCGTGACTCACAAATCATCCATCGATCCCGTTCCATCTAGTAAGAAAAAATATTAGAATTTTAGAGAATGTAACTAAGTTATCTGTCAGGAAAAATGATATGACCTCACAGAGACTAGAACTTAGGACATTTGACGGATATGGAAAAAACTGAACTAATAAAAAAGGTTTCTATTATAAATTGTACTCAAGATAGCCCGTTTCTCGAGTGAACGCCGTCATCTATCCTTACAGGAGACATGAACCTTTTAGTCTTAAGAATAAACATTAGGTACATATGTTACACTAAGTATGGTTTCAGTGGAACGAAGGAAACGACACGGTTACTCGGTGCCTCGAAACCAGTCGTACTCAAATAAGCTAAAGACAATCACCTTGATCTGTATTCCTGACTAATGTCTATATATCAGGACTGAGAAATCGGGATAAAATACGAAAAAGAGTACGGAATTTTCATACAACAGAGAACGAAAAAGTGTTTTTGAAAATATTTCGAAAATTGGGAATAACATAAAAGAAAAACGGTTTTTTCTTTTTTAAACACTGAAAATAGAACGAAAAAATTACTGATGTTTTAAAATATTAATCTGAGAATGCTTTATTTGGAAAAACAAAGGATTCATTCTTTTCGATGCTGCCAATCGCCTAAAGTTTTAGTGAACGATAGAATAACAGGACTACGCGTCAAGTACAATAAATTAGTCTCGGACATAAATTTTACTACTGCATATAACAATTTTCACACAGGGAGACGTAGGACGAATTACGAGAAGTAAACTTCCATTAGCTGGTCACCGTACACATGAAATTGTATCATATCAAAATTTGATGATTTTTTTCTAGAGAAGCGGTATTTGAGATTTTTACATAATCGTAATCAGTGTGATGAGTTACGTTGTACGGCGCAAAGATCTTGTCAGGGTACACGCAAAAACGGGGTCTCAGGAGTCCCACTTAGAATACCACTGTGAGGGTGAGGGTGAGGAGTGAGGGTATTCAACGGCATAGTTCATCGTTCAACTTCAAACATGCCGCATTTTATTCGTTCTGCTTATGGTGTAATTTTTCTTTCTGTTTGATTTTTTTCTTTTCTACGCATATACAGTGGCTCGAAAAATTGATCATACAGGGCAAAAAAACAAAAAATAACTTTTTTTTTGGCATGAACTTTTTCTTTTTTAATATCTGGTTGAGAAGCCTTTCATTGTTATACATTCATATAAACGATTAGGTACTGTATCAACAAGTTTTTCCGTGATATCAGTACCAATTCCATTCCACTCTTGCAAAAGAGCCTTTCTTAGTTCGTCTTTGTTCTTTGGCTCGTGTTTTTTCATTCGCCGTTCCAATTCATCCCGCATATGTTCCATTGGATTAAGATCTGGTGAATACGGAACCCATTCCAATGTTTCAATCCTTTAACCAATCTTTAACTATTCCAGCCGTATGTTTGGAATCGTTATCATGTTGAAAGACCAATTTCTTGCCTAAACGTAATTTATTTGACGACGCAAGCAGATTTTTTTCTAATATTTCTTTGTAATAGAATCTGTCCATGATTCTATCAAGAAAAAATAGATACCAACACTGGCTCTCGAAAAACATCGCCACACTTTCAAATTACCGCCACCATATTTGACTGCTGCTACCGTGCATTTGAGATTAAATTCTTTCTTCGGCGTTCTCCAAACCATAACTTTCCCGTCCGAATCAAACAAATTAAATTGTGACTCGTCCGACCACAAGACATTATTACAGTAACCAAACGGCTGTTTTAACATAGGCCTTGCATATTTTATACGTTTAAAACGACTACCCCTATTTACATAAGGTTTTTTGCGCGCTGTACGGCCGTAAAAACTAATTTCATTTGCACAATTACGAACCGTATCTCTATGAATTACCACGCCTAATTCTTGTTCAAGTTCTATTTCACTGACAATGCCGGTTTTCGACGATCCACTTTTAATTTACGTTGAATTATACGATCGACTGCGGCGGTCGTTTTCGTTTACGACCCAATACATTTTGTTTCCAATACACTTTGTGTTTTTATACTTTTTGATCATCGATTGCACGGTGGATCGTTTGACAAATGTTTTTTTACTAATTTCTGTATACGAATTTCGTTTAGGGATTTTTCCAATCCACTCGCACAACTCACGATGTGACTCCCGCTGTCACTGCTAACGCAAATATAAGGTTTTCACATTTAGAATGTACACCCAGGTCGACTCGCAC